ATATATATTGTTATGATCCGTACTCAATATTCACATTTCAACTTTTTATAAACAAAAGACTGGCGACGAACTCAAATGTTCTTCTTAGAAGCGAAGCTTCTAAAGACTCCTTTTTTATTTTATTTGCAAGTGTTTGCTCGAACATTCGAAACAGTTGACTGACGAAAGACCAAAGTAATATAGGCAAGCTACACAGCTTGGCGTTGGTTCATTTTGATTTTTAGTCTAGCTGTAATAAGTTCTTGTTTATTAATATTAGTTTTGTGATAGTTTTAAGTGCTTGTTCATTACTTACAAAAATAAAGAACGAACCGAATATAACAATATATATGTATCGAATCGAAATATTTTTTTTTTTTTATTACCGTGAAAATGAAAATGAAAAGGTTATTATTATTATTATTACTACTTTTTTTTCGAGGGTTAAGTAATAGAAAAATAAACAAACAAACAAACAAATAGACGAACAAACAAACAAACGCCGGGTAAAACGGGGAGGGGAAAAAAAAAAATTTCATAATTATTTTTTAAATTTCCCGCGTGATTCGTGTGTTTAGAAATCGGGTCATTAGATATAAAATATAAAATAAAATACTCGAATTTGGAGATTAAATGGGGGAAATTTATAAAGAAAAGTTAAAATTAAAAAAAAAAAAAGAAAAAGAAAATTTTTTTTCCCCCCTTTGTAAAAGCCCGAAAGAATTTTTTTTTATTTTTTTTATTTTTATTTTTGGTAAATTAACCTTTTTGATTCATCCTTTTTTTTCCTTTTTTCCTTTTTTTTTTTCGTTCTTAAAATGAAGATGATCTCGAAACGTCAGAAATCAAGAGGTTAAAGTTTATAAAACGGGAAAAAAAAGGGAAAGAAAGAAAAAGAAAGGGAAAAAAAGTTTTCATTTTGACTAGAGTAGTTGTTTACTTTTTGACTAGCGTAGTTGTTTTCATTTTGACTCGCGTAGTTGTTTTCTTACGTCATATTATTCCTATTATATATATATATATATATATATATATATATATATATATATATGAATTCAATACGGGGGGAAAAAAAAGTATTATTTTTATTATTATTATTTTTGTTGTTGTTTACGGATTGTTTTATTATTATTATTATTATTATTA